GAGTGATACCTCATAGGACTTGTCTATAATTCTCAAATCACAAATATTTACCAAGGAATTAATTCAAAGATGGCTAGATGAAAACAAAATAGCTGTATATGAGAGCTCAGGAGTCAGAAGATCTGCCACAGTTTCAAAAAAATTAAATTTGTAATTCATACAAATTACAAATCAGTGTACGGTGGACCTTCGGGATAACTCTCCAATAGCCCAGAATAAGACAGCCGAATTTAGAAATGTCTTTATTTTATTATTTATTTAACAGAAAGATGAGTGTTAAGATCAAGCTCCAGAAGGATGTCTAGGCTAACTTCTGAACAACCTTATTTAAGATCACTGGACACTGCCAAACTGGACTCTGCCAATCATTTGACCTTCATGGGACTGATTATTGTCTTACTTTTAAATTAGAAAAGTTTAAGCAACAGACTGTTTTTTAATTAATACATTATATTTGTACATATTAATGGAATACATATGAGTATTTGTTACATGTGCAGAATGTATAATGACTAAGTCAGGGTATTTAGGATATTCATCACGTTGAGCACTGATCATTTCTTGTGTTGGGAACATTTCAAATAATCTCCTCTAGCTATTTTGAAACATAAAATACATTGTTGTAAACTATAGACATTCTACTATAGAGATTGATAAATACTATCAAACTTTAACTTATTTCTTCTATCTAGTTGTATGTTTTCTTCTCTTTTACCGACCTCTCTTTATCATCCTTCTTCCCCCAACACTTCACAGCTTCCAGTAACTATCATTCTACTCTCTCCTACCATGTAAACAAAACAAGATTTTAGCTTCCACATATGAGTAAGAATATGGAATTTGTGTCTTTCTTTGCCTGGCTTATTTAACTTATCACAACTTGAGTTTCATCTATGTTGCTACAAATGACAAGCTTTTATTCTTTTTTATTGCCTAATAGTATTCCATTGTGTATCTATGCTACATTTTCTTTATCCATTCATCCAAAGATAGACACAGGTTCATTGCATATATTGGCTATTGTGAATGGCAGTAATAAACATGGATGCGGAGGAATCCCTTTGATATACTGATCTCTTTTCCTTTGGATAAACAGCCAGTAGCGGGATTACTGGATATTGTGGCAGTCCTAATTTTAGTTTTTTTTTTGAGAAGTGACATACCTTTTTTAATAATGGCTGAACTAATTTACATTCCCACCAACAGGGTTCTCTTTTTTGCACAGCTTTGCCAGGATGCTATTTTTTGTCTTTTTGATAATAGCTATTTTAACGGGTAAGATTATATCTCTTGTGTTTTTTATTGCTGAGGTGACCAGTGGGGCCAGGGATCCCCAAATGGGGAGCAGGAAGTGGGGTTCATAGCTTGAGCGCTGGTGGGGGCCTGATGCCAGGCAGTAAGAGCCTGTCTTCAGGACCCTATGATGTTGTGCAAGGGTGCAGGCTGTGGTGGGGGACGGGGTGGGGGTGCTGATGCAATTCCTAGGCTTCTGGCTGGTGGCAGCTAAAGGAGAGAGCCTGTCCTCAGGGTGCATGCAATTGTGTGCTTGCCCTGCTGCTAAGGAGGGCATAGGGTTGCTGTCAATGACAGCTGCCTGAGGCAGGTGGCTCTCAGACTGCAAAATGCATGCTTTGTCTCCCAATGTCTCAGAAACAGCCTGGAAAATGTGCAGCACTGCCTGTTGTCTGGCATGTTGGACACTGGGTAGGCTGGAGTGGGAACCCAACTGCACTGCTGGGTGCAACTGGCATCACTGTAGTCCTCCAGGTGTACACAGGAGGACTTCAGTGCAGCTCCAGGGATGTGGAGATAGAGGGGCTAAGGATCCCAAGGCATTATGCAGTCTTGAAAGGGCCAGGCTTTCAAAATAGCATCATACTGCAGCTGCTTGGGTCTTGGAGGTGGAGAGTGGAACTCATTGTGAACTCTCAAGAATAATGCATTCACCCAGGTTCTAGGCAGGTCTCTATACCAGTCTCAGGGTGTATAATGATGGAGGAGCTGTTCTGTGGCTGAGATGGCAGGAATCTGTGGTGGGAATGTGCATTGCTGGGATCCTTCTTACCCTTTCTCCACATTGAGGGCCTCTCTGGGCTCCCAGACAATCCTAATCAGGCTGGCTGCCTCTCTTTCCTCTTTTTCAGTTCCCTAAGTGTAGGGAGCCAGCCCTACATTACCTGTGGGTACCCAAGTTCGGTGGTGACAAAGGAATGAGAAAAAGTCAGATTAAGAGAGATAGTGGGACCAGGGGGCCATCAGTTATTACTGGAGGCAGTGAAGGCTCTGAGCTCTGATCATCCACACTGTTTATTGATTACAATCACTTTGATCTACAGGGTAGGGATGGAGGGATGGAGTGATGGTGGAGTGAATCAGTGAGCCAGAAGTGAATCAGTGATCTGGAACTGGTGTGTCATTTTAAGGATTGATAACAGTGGTGGTTTAGGGGTTTCACAAAACAAGAACATGTGGTTATCTTTAGCTTACTATCTATGTGCAGCTGATGGAACATGGACCTTACAAGGATTCTACAGTCTGGCTATGTCATAGTGCTACGGAGGGGTTTTAAGTCCTTGAGCACAATGTTTATGGTAACAGAGCTGAGGTCACCCTGCACCCGAACATGAGGCATGGAGAGGCCTTCCTCCTTAGAGGCCTCCTGTGGCCTTCCACAGTTTGTTGTTCCTTGTTTACATGTTATTCATAACTAATTTATGTAGGCACTCTGTAAGTCCTTTCTCCTTTGCAGCTTATCCCAACACCTAAGTCTTTCCTTTCACTTCTCTGCTGAATTCCAGCATTCTCTCTTAAAGGCACTAAGTGTGATTATTTACTCTTTGGTTCTTCTTTGTGGAGGAAGTGAGTGTCCAGTGCTTCTAGTCAGCCATCTTGAAGCCTCCTCCCAAAGGACTATTAATAATTATAGATTATTTGCTTCTTGCAGAACATTGCAACAGGTGCTATAGGGCATTACAAAGAGGAGATAACCATGGTCTTTTTTTCAGCACACTTTTCTATGATCACGACTTGTAGACAGGATTTAGCTGAAAGGCTAATTTTTTGCCATATGCCTAACCTTTATATATTAAAAAAAAATTATTCGTGCAACGTTCTTTGACTCAGGCCAATGTAAACAAATAATTTTTGTAGTGCTTTGGGTTATTAATATGAAAATCTATTTGGCTTATGCATTTACAGGGATATTAAATTCTAGGGTAAAATTTGTCTCCCTAAGGTGGCAAATAATGAATACTTGTGTATTGAAAATAAATATGCAAAATTGACATGATAAAACTTGCTTAGAATATGCATTATAAAATGTGATGAGGCAACTGCAGGATCTGTTCATTCATTTTATTGTTGAAAAGCAAATTGGCATTTTCATGGGTATGATTTGTAGGTAAAAGTGAATCTACCAATATTGGGAGTCAGGAACATCCTGAATAAACATATCTTTTTTTGAGATTAAAATTTGTTAGTAAGTGCCAATGGTGATTTCTCAGAGATGTGGGAAAATAACATGATTTTTCATCTAATAAACATAATGTCTATGCATATGGGATGTTAAAACTCTTATATTGATTTAGCCTTTAATGAAGGCTGATGCTCTGAGTCTAAAATGCATCTAGAATATAAAATATGATAAGCATATAAAGCCCACGTTACTGAATATAAAAAACACTTAGTAAAACTGGGTCTCTGTTTTAATTCATATTCTCATATTTAAGGAAGGAGCTTTGTTTTAAATTAGAAATGTCAATTGACGTATTTTTGGAATTCTTTTGGAGAATATTCTTGTGCTTTTTACTACTTGTCCAATTCTCTTCTCTTGTGGTTTACATTTCAATAGCCTCTTCATTCTTAGCAGTAATCTGGCAGCTGCTAGGTTCCTGTTAATGAGTTCATTTGGATGCATAGTATTTTTAGTTAATACACTCCAAGCTTTACTCTCTGTGAAGTAAATCTTCTAATTTTGCTACCCTATATTGGTTATTGGTGGTTGCTGATACCACTTCTTAAAATATGTCACCTGACAATTTTGGATTAACAAAAATTGATTTGCATGTGGTGACATTTTCAGTCAATATTCTAGCAGCTCCCATGTACAATTTTAAGACGGTGAGGGAATAGTCTGTCGGGCTCCAAATAAACTGTACTTCATTTTAAGGCTTCCTTGTTAATATCAAGAAGGCTCATTTTCAAATAGTTCATTAGCATCTTATCCAAAAGCCAGTACTTTATTTAGGCAGCACCCTGCAAATGTCTGCTTAAATAGCTCTTTCCTTGCATCCCAGCTTAGCTAACTCCTACTCAGTTAAGAACTCAGTTCAGGCACTATCTTGACCCTAGAGATTTTCTCACACCTATCCTCAGGGTCTCCTTCACCACTCTCTAGTGTCTTCCTCAATACAACATGTTACCCTCTACTGTAATTATCTGTTTGACAGCTTTAGCCACTAGGAAGTGGATTCATTGTGGACATTGTTATGTCTTCCTAGTCCTGGTAGAAATAAATAAAAGTTTGTTGAATGAATAATGACATGAATCTATAATTTTATAAGACTGGTCAATATGCTTATTTCTTTTCAATATTAGCAAATTATGTTTTTGATTATCGAGTATGTTTAGCAGAGTTGATTGCTAGAAAACCTTTATAAATTTTTTTTCTGGCTTTCATTAATCACTTAAGGTCTTTCTTTCACCGCAATAGGAAAATCTCTGAATGTTCAGAGTGCTACTTCTCAGCATGAATTCTATAAAATTATTTCTATAAGGTCCCAGTGTGTTCAAATGATCTTGAATGGCTTTCTGGGTCATAGAAGTTTTATCATATAGAAGTGACAACTTATGACTTAAAAGCTATGTTTTTAAACATAAAATTACATTATATAGCTAGTATGGTACAGTTATTTCAAGTTATTGAATGCAAAACTATATATATATTCTAGATCTAGTAATAACCCATTAAATCACACTAATTTGGTAAACCTGAACATTAGCAGAAAGGGAAGTGTCAATGCTTTCATCTTTAAAAATACTGGCTAAGATGAGTGCTGCCCATAACTCTAAAGGGTAAGGTAAGAACATTAGTTGGTTACCTACCATCCACCAGCACCTCACATATATCATTTATTTTAAACCTTACGATAAGTCCATTTTTATGAATTACTGTCTCAATTTTATGGTTGAGAAAATTGAGTATCACAGATATTATATTTCTTGTTCAGTGTTTCAGATTTAGTGATGAAGACTGAATTTGACACCAGATATGTCAGAATAATTGGTAATAGATTTGGTACAATAATGGCTCTCAGGACTTTAGCCATTGACCGTTTTAATTTGTATTCTAAGAGTCTTTTTGATGACCTTGTAGATAAACTTAATATATTACTATTAAAGAGAGTTTACAGATACCATAAAGATTATAGCTTTATACATGCACACTTCGATGTACACAAGTTTGTAAAGAATAATTATACATATTTCTTTTATGTTCTTTCCCTTTCTTTTTTAAAAATAATATGACTAACTTAAACATAGATGATGCTTTTCCTGTGGTGCTTGCACAAGAGTAAACTAAAGAGTCTAATAAAGTAGCTTTTTTTCTCCATTAGAATTTATCAGGAGGTATACAAAAACATTTATACCATTCTTCTTTTGGTATAACTGAATAATTGAAAATAAGAAGTATTTGATCTGATAATGGATGTTTATTAACATTTTGGAGGCTTATAAAAATAGGAATGCAAAGTTATTAAATGACAAAGGAAAGTATCTTTCAGTGACACTCCTGAAGATTGATAACAGTGGACATTTTGTTTCATTATGGAAAGCAGTTAACATTAATGCTGTATACAATATTTTAAAAATATGCCAAGTGAATGTAAATTAGCTACAACTGTATAAAAAGATAAAGATATTTCTCAAGTTCTAGATTAAAAAACAATATATTGGATCAACCTATGTTTCCACAATCTATTATAACCTGTGGGCAATAGGGGTTTGGGGAGTGGGGGAGTGTCACAGGGTTGTCAGCCACCATTCCCCAGTGATCATTGCAAGTAATGCACCAGTGTATTATGTCAAAAGGCAGACACAGTAGTAAGAGTGTGTGTGTGTATCACTATATATATCTATGTATAGATATATAATCAATGTATATCTATATTTGTCTTTTTATATATTACCATATGTCACTATATAGATATATATATTACTATATGCCTATATATAGATATAGTGATCTCTCTCTCTCTCTAATTTAATTAAATAATTAAATATTTAATTAAATAATTAAATATTTAATTATTTTGATCCAAAGAGATCCAAAGAGAGGAGCCCTAGTAGCAGATTCATGTCTAAGGATGGACCTGGGACAAGTATTTCAGTGACAGAGCTGTGCTGCATCTTAAAATTTTTATTATTTAGTTTTCCCTTAAAAATGTAACTTCTGCACATGACAAGAACTTCCAAGAATATATTTTAAAAAATACCAAAAAATAAATATTTCATTCCTCTTCATTCCTCACCTCTAAGTTCTATTCCTTAAAGGTAATGTCATTACAATTTTTAGTCTCATCTCCTATTATGTATTTATTTTAAACAGGGGAATTTCCTGAAGGCTCTGTAATGTATATTTCCCTGTGGAACACATTAAGTGCATTTTCTTTTTCTATCATACAACTTTGGAATATATTTAGAATAAAAATTAAAGTTACCAAGCAATTCTGTCATCACATGCTTAATATGCTATGTAAATTATTGACATCTTTGCCCTTTGTGGCCCTAGCTGCTGAGAACTCCCATAATAGCAGCAGAATGAATGACAGGCCAGACCTAGTAGCTTATGTTTAATTTTCAGTGAGCTAACATGAGGAAAATGAATAAATCTTTGTACTTAATGAAGACCCAGTATGCTTCAGCATTATATTACCTTTCCAACTGCTAGGTGATTCAAAAAGTAAATTTTATATATTTGTGCATCTCTTTATATTGTTGTCATGTATGTAGAATGATTGAGGGTCTTTCTTTGGCAAAATGTAGAAAAATTCTTGTACTGTGAAGTATAAGTCTGTCTCTACTCTGCCTTTCTAAGCTATCATGATCATGTAATATATTTTAACAAAAATGGTGATAGATCTGCTATAAATTCTTATTTTTTTAAAATAGCTTTATTGCAGTACAATTGACATGTCATAAACTACACACATTTAAAGTGCATAATTTGTTACATATTGGCATAAGTATATGCTGTGATACCACCAACACAATATAATGAACATATCTGTTACTCCCCAAAAGTTTCCTCATTCGCCTTTGTCATGCCTGTCTTCTCCCCGGCCCAGCTTATACCCAGTCAGTCACTAAACTGTTTTCCTTCACTATAAATTCATTGGAATTCTCTAAAAAAAAAAAAAATACACACACACACACACACACACACACACACACACACACATATGGTGTATTATTTTCTCTTCTGGCTTCTTTCACTCAGCATTATTCTGAGATTTATTCATGCTGTTGCATATATCGGTAGTTCATATCTTTTTATTGCTGAATAGTATCCCAATGTTTAAATGCATTAAAATTTGCTTATTCATTCACTTGCTTAGGGATGTTTGAATTAGTTTCGGTTTGGGGCTCATACAAATGAAGCTTTTATAAAAATATGTGTTCAAGGTTTTGAATGGATGTGTGCTTTTATTTCTTTTGGGTAAATACCAAGGAAAAGGAAGGGCGATTCTTATGGTAGATGTGTATTTAATTTTTTAAGAGACTGTGAAACTGTTTCCCAAAGTGATTGTACCATTATACATTCCCATTAACAAGGTATGAGAGTTCTAGTTGCATTGCATTGTGGTAACCTTTGATATGGCCAATGTTTTAGTTTTATTCATTGTAATAGGTGTATAGTGATACTTCATTGTTTTTTTCCCATTTTTGTGCTTTTAAAAAATTTCAATAGTTTTTGGGATACAGGTGGCTTTTGGTTACATGGATGTTTTTTTAGTGGTGATTTCTGTGATTTTAGTGCACCTATCACTCAAACATTGTATACTGTACCCAATATGTAGTCAGTTTCTCCCTCCCTCCCTCCCAACCATTCTCCCACAGTTCCCAAAGTCCATTATTATCTTTCTTATGCATTTGTGTACTCATAGTTTAGCTCCCACTTTCACATAAGGAACATGTGATAATTGGTTTTCCATTCCTAAGTTACTTTACTTAGAAAGAATAATGGCCTGTGGCTCCATTTAATTTGCTGCAAAAGACATTATTTCATCCCTTTTTATGGCTGAGTAGTATTCCATGGTGTATATTTATCACACTTTTTTTTTTAATCCGCTAGTTGTCAATGGGCACTTAGGATGGTTTCATATTTTTGCAATTGCTAATTGTGCTGCTATAAACAAGCATGTGCATGTGTCTATTTCCATATAATGACTTCTTTTCCTTTGGGTAGATACCCAGAGGTGGGATTGCTGGATTACATGGCAGTTCTACATTATTTCTTTAAGTAACCTCTATACTGTTTTCCAAAGTGGTTTTACTAGTTTATATTCCCACTAGCAGTGTAAGCGTGTTCCCTTTTCACGACATCCATGCCAACATCTATTGTGTTCTTGACTTTTTAAAAGTGGTACCTCCTTGTGGTTTTAATTTGCATTTCCCGGATGATGAGTTAAACATTTTTTTGTATGTTTGTTGGTTGTTTGCATATGTTCTTTTGAGAAATGTCTTGTTCATTTCCTTTGCCCACTTTTGATGGGATTACTTGTTTTATACTTGCTGATGTGTTTGAGTTCCTTGTAATTTTGCATTCTAGTCCTTTGCCTGATTCATAGAAAGTGAATGTTTTCTTTCACCCTGTGGGTTATCTGTTTACACTATTGATTATTTTATTTGATGTAAAGATGCTTTTTAGTTTAATTAGGTCCCATTTATTTATTTTTATTTTTGTTGAATATGCTTGTGGGGTCTTAGTCATGAATTATTTGCAGAAGCCCATGTCCAGAAGGGTCTTTCTGATGTTATCACCTAGGATTTTTATGGTTTCATGTCTTAGGTATAAGTCTTTGATTCATCTTGAGTTGATTTCTGCATGAGATGAGATATGAGATTCCAGTTTTATTATTCTACATGTGGCTTGATCTATCCCAGAACCATTTATTGAATAGGCATCTTTCCTCACTTTATGTTTTTATATGCTTTGTCAAATATCTTTTGGCTGTAGTATTTGGCATTAATTTTTGGTTCTTTATTCTGCTCTGTTATTCATGTGCATATTTTTATACCAGTAGCATGCTGTTTTGGTAACTGCAGCCTTATAGCATAATTTGAAGTCAGTTAGTCATATATGGATTTTATTACTTTGAAGTAAGTCCATTCTATCCTTACTTGGTTGAGGATTTTATATCATAAAGAGGTGCTATATTTTATCAAATGCTTTTTTGTGTCTATTGAGATGATCAGATGGTTGCTTTTAATTCTGTTCATGTGATGTATCACATTTATTGACTTGCATATGTTAAACTATCTCTGCATCCCTGGGATGAAACCTATTTGATCACAATGTATTACCTTTTTAGTTTGCTGTTGGATTTGGTTAGCTAAAATTTTGTTGAGGATTTTTGTGTCTATGTTCATCAGGGATATTGATCTGCAGTTTTATTTTTCTGTTAAATCCTTTCTTCATTTCAGTATTAGGTTTCATAGAATGATTTAGGGAGGATTTCCTCTTTCTCAATCTTTTGGAATAATTTTAATAGAATTGGTACCAATTATTCTTTAAATGTCTGGTAGAATTCAGCTGTGAATTCATCTGACTGGCAATTTTGCTGACAATTTTTAAAATATGGATTTGATCTCATTGCTTGTCATTGGTCTCTTCAGGGTTTCTATTTCTTCCTAATTTAATCTAGGAGAGTTGAATGTTTCCAGGAACTTATCCTCAAGATTTTCTAGTATGTGCATGTAAAGATGTTCATAGTAATCTTGAATGATATTTTGTATCCCTGTGGTATCAGTTGCAATGTCTCCTGTTTCATTTCTAATTAAGCTTATATTGATCTACTTTTCTTGGTTAATCTCATTAATGGTCTATCAGTTTATTCTTTCAATGAACCAACTTTTTGTTTCATTTATCTTTTGTATGTATGTTTCAATTTCATTTAGTTTTGCTCTGGTCACTGTTATTTCTTTGCTTCTGCTGGGTTTGGATTTGGTTTGTTCTTGTTTCTCTAGTTCATTGAGGTGTGAAATTAAATAGTCAATTTGTGCATTTTCAGACTTTTTGATGTAGGCATTTAACACCATTAACTTTCCTCTTAGCATTGCTTTTGCTCTATCTCAGAAATTTTAGTAAGTTGTGTCGCTATTATTCATTTCGAAGAATTTTCTAATTTCCATCTTGATTTCATTGCTAACTCAAATATTCAAGAGGAGATTATTTAATTTCCATGTATTTGTGTAGTTTTAAGTGTTTCTTTTGGAGTTGAATTCCAGTTTTATTCCACTGCCTGAGAAGACACTTGATAGGATTTTGATTTTCTTAAATTTGCTGAGATTTGTTTTGTGCCCTATTATGTAATCTATCTTGGAGAATGTTTCAAGTATTGATGAGAAGAATGTACATTCTATTGTTGTTGGGTAGAACGTTCTGTAAATACCTATTAATTTCATTTGTTCTAAGGTATAGTTTAAGACAATTGTTTCTTTGCTGGACATTCTGTCTTGATGATCTGTCTAGTGCTGTCAGTGGAGTACTGAATTCTCCCACTATTATTGTGTTTCCATCTATCACATTTCTCAGGGTTAGTAGTAATTGTTCTATAAAGCTTGGTGCTCCAATGTTAGTTGCATATAAACTTAGGATCAACCATCCTTTTTGTTATCATACAATGCCCTTGTCTTTTTTTCTGTTGTTGCTTTAAAATCTCTTTTGACTAATACAAGAATAGATACTGCTGCTTGCTTTTTTATTTGCATGGGATATCTTTTTCCACCCCTTTATCTTGAGTTTATATGAGTCCCTAGTGTTAAGTGTGTCTCCTGAAGGCAGCAGATATTTGTTGGTGGTTTTTACTCATACTGTCATTCTGTATCTTTTAAGTGGAGCTTTTAGGCCATTTACATTCAACTTTAATATTGAGACGTGAGGTATTATTCTAATTATCATAATAGTTGCTACTAAGATATTTTGATGTTTTTCATTATATTATTGTTGTATAGGACCTGTGAGATTTATGCTTTAAAGAGGTTCTATTTTGGTGTATTTTATTTCAATATTTAGAGCTTTTGTATCAAGATTTATAACTCCTTTTAGCATTTCTTATAGTGCTGGTTCGCTAATGGCAAATTCCCTCAGCATTTGTTTGTCTGAAAAAGAATTTATCTTTCCTTCATTTATAAAGCTTAGTATTGCTGGTTACAAAATTCTTGCCTGACAATTATTTTATTTGAGGAGGCTAAACATAGGACCCAAATTCCTTCTGTCCTGTAAGGTTTCAGCTGAGAAATCTGCTTTTAGTCTGGTAGGGTTTCCTTTATAGTTTATCTGATGATTTTGCCTCACATCTCTTAAAATTATTTCAATCATGTTGACTTTGGATAGCCTGATGACTATCTGCCTTGGTGATGGCAGATCTTTTTACAATGAATTTCCCAGGCATTCTTTGAACTTCTTGTATTTGTATATTTAGATCTTTAGCAAAGCCAGGGAAGTTTTCTTCAATTAGTCTCACAAATATTTTTTTCCAAACCTCTAGACTACTTTTGCCCTCAGGAACACCAATTATTCTTAGGTTTGGCCATCTTACATAATCTCATATTTCTTGGATACTCTGTTCATTTCTTTTGATTCTCTTTTCTTCATCTCAGTGGGTTAATTCTAAAGCCTTGTCTTTGACTTCCAAAATTCTTTCTTCTACTTATTCTATTCTATTGTTGAAACTTTCCATTGCATTTTGTATTTCCCTAAGTGTGTCTTTTATTTCCAGAAGATCTTAGTATTCCTTTATGGTATCTATCTCTCTGGAAAATTTTTCATTCATACTCTGGATTGCTTTTAAAATTTCTTTATGTTTGTGTATTAGTTTGTTTTTAATGCTGCTAATAAAAACATACATGAGACTGGGAAGAAAAATATATTTAATGGATTCACAGTTACATGTGGATGGGGAGGCCTCACAATCATAGCAAAAGGCACTTCTTATATGGTAGTGGCAAGAAAGCATGAGTGAAAAACAAAAGCAGAAACCCGTTATAAAACCATCAGATCTCATGAGACTTATTCACTACCATGAGAACAGTATGGAGGAAACCGCCCCATGATTTAATTATCTCTCACAGAGCCCCTCAACAACACAAAGGAGTTATGGAAGTACAACTCAAGATGAGATTTGAGTGTGGACACAGAATCAAACTATACTATTCTGCCCCACAACTCCCAAATCTCATGTCCTCACATTTCAAAACCAATCATTCCTTCTCAACAGTTCCCCAAAGTCTTAACTCATTACAGCGTTAATTCAAAAGTCCACAGTCCAAAGTGTCATATGAGACAAGGCAAGTTCCTTCTGTCTATGAGCCTGTAAAGTCAAAAGCAAGTTAGTTGCTTCCTGGATACAATGGAGGTACAGGCATTGGATAAATATACCCATTTCAAATGGGAGAAATTGGCCAAAAACAAAGGAGTGAAAGGCCCCATGCAAGTCCAAAATCGAGTAGGGCAGTCAACTCTTAAAGCTCCAAAATGATCTTTGACTCTATGTCTTACATCCAGGTCATGCTAATGCAAGAGGTAGTCTCCCATGGCCTTGGGCTGATCTGCCCCTGTGGTTTTGCAGAGTGTAACCCCCCTCCTGGCTTTCATGGGTGGCACTGTGTGTCTGCAGCTTTTCCAGGTGCACAGTGGAAGGTGTCAGTGGATCTACCATTCTGGGGTCTGGAGGATGATTGCCTTTTCTTACAACTCCACTCAGCAGTGCCCCAGTAGGGACTACGTGTAGTGGCTCCAACACCACATTTTCCTTCTGCACTATCCTAGCAGAGGTTCCCCTTGAGGACCCCATCCCTGCAGCAAACTTCTGCCTGTGCATCCAGGCATTTCCATACATCCTCTGAAATCTAGGTGGAGGTTTTCAAACCTCAATTCTTGACTTTTGTGCATCCACAGGCTCAACACCATGTGGAAGCTGCCAAAGCTTTGGCCTTATACCTACCAAAGCCACTGCCTGAGCTGTATTTTGGCCCCTTTTAGCCATGGATAGAGCAGATGGGAAGCAGGGAACCAAGTCCTTACACTACACATAAAATAGGGACCCTGGGCCTGGCCCACAAAATCATTTTTTTTTCTCCTAGGCCTCCAGGCCTGTGGGGGAGGGGCTGCTGAAAGGCCTCTGACATGCCCTGGAGATATTTTCTCCATTGACTTGGTGATTGGCATTTGGCTTTTTACTTATGCAAATTTCTGCAGGTGGCTTTAATTTCTCTTCAGAAAAATAGGCTTTTCTTATCTATTGCATTGTTGGGCTGCAAATTTTCTGAACTTTTATGTTTTGTTTCTGTTAAAAGTGAATGCTTTTAATGGCACCCAAGTCACATCTTAAATGCTTTGCTGCTTAGAAATTTTTTCCCCCAGATACCCTAAATTATCTTTCTCAAATTCAAAGTTTCACAAATCTCTAGGGCAGGGACAAAATGCTGCTAGTATCTTTGCTAAAACAGAGCAAGAGCCACATTTGCTCCAGTTCCCAACAAGTTTCTCATCTCTATCTGGGACCACCTCAGTCTGGACCTTATTGTTCATATCACTATCAGCATTTTTGTCAAATCTATTCAACAAGTCTCTAGGAAGTTCCAAACTTTCCATATTTTCCTGTCTTCTTCTGAGTCCTCCAAACTGTTCCAACCTGTACATATTATCCAGTTCCACAGTAATATGTGGTGTCTACATTTTTGAATATCTTTACAGCAGTGCCCCACTCTACTGGTATTAATTTACTATATTAGTCTATTTTCATGCTGCTGATAAAGACATATTTCAGACTGGATAATTTGTAAAGAAAAAGAGGTTTAATGGACTCACAGTTCCATATGGCTGGGCAGGCCTCAGAATCATGGCAGAAGATAAAAGCCATGCCTTACAGGGTGGTGAGCAAGAGAGAATTAGAGGCCCAAGCAAAAGGAGAAGCTTTTCATAAAACCAGCAGATCTCATGAGACTTATTCAGTACCATAAGAACAGTATGGAGGAGCCACCCTATCATTCAAATATCTCCCACTGGTTTACTCCCAAAACACATGGGAATTATGCGAGCTACAATTCAAGATGAGATTTGGGTGGGGACACACAAAAACCCTATAATTCTGCGCAGCCCAATTTATTGTTTATCCTATTGGGTGCATTTTTCATCCTAGACATGGTAGTTTTTATCATTAGAAGTTTGATTTGCAATTTTTTATGTCTTATGTAGCTAAATTTTATGGATGAGAAAACTAAGACACACAGAGGACTTACTAAGATTTCAGAGCTGTTAAGAAGTGGATGTGAGAATACAAATCCAGGTAACCCTGCCCCAGAGACTGCACTTTTAATTACTACTTGTACCCTTCTTTTTAAGGTGTGTTACTATTTCATACTATTCTCTTCCAAAGCATTTAGAACAATGCTTGGCACATGAAAAGGGTATAACAATTGTTAATTATAGAATTAAATGCTGGCAAGCTGCAAAACTTTATCAAGATTGAAAACAGAACTCAGATGACAATTCTTTTTAAAATTTCCCTTATCTTTCCATAATTTTGCTTAAAATTTTTCCTTAACTCTTATCACTAACACAAGATAAAATTCCTTCCTATGCATTTTCATCCATGTTGTTCTTACTTCTATAACAGCATTACAAAATTGTATAGCTGTATGTGTCTTTGAATGTTGAATTGAAATTAAATTGGATCATGGCTCAAGTAGTCATGATGGTCAAAGGATGAGGTGTTGCTGGTTGCTACCAAAGAAAAAGCTTACCAGATGCCACCTGGAAGGATACATAACATGATTTTTAACCATAGGCAATGTGCCATGTTTAGAGACTGGGAAATTTTCAAGGGCTACATTAGCACTTAGGAGACTTATAGTGTTGTTGTGTTTGATGACAAACCTCAGGGAGTGTCATTCAGATTGTAATTCATTTGAATAGTAGCTCCCTAGAATAATGGAGTCCACAGTCCTCACAATGGTATGCAGCTGCCCAGTGAGGCTATCAGACAGGTTGTAGATTAAGGTGATCTAAGTTGGACCTGAGCTAGAGGCAAGGTGGCTGATTATACTCCTCCCGGCAGAACTCCTAGAGATCTGGTTACCCCATGCTAAGCTCTACAGATCTTTCATTTCTGCCAACCTCAACTGTTTCTCCCTTCCTTTTCAGTCAAGTTTCCCTCCTTGAAACCCAGGAAATTTATATTTTGTTTTGGAGGCAGGGAATTTAGCAATAACTCATTGGATTTCTTTGCCCTGAGTTACCTCAGAGACTAGGCTTTTGAACTTCTACATTCTCTACAGTAATAAATCTTCCTTGAAGCTTTTATGTTACAAGATCAGATTATTACACAAATGGACAGGAGAGTTAGAAATACTAGAAAAGGAAGAAAATATCCATTATTATTTCAAATACATTAGTCTCCCAACTGGACTATGAGCTCCTTAATGGTAAGAAACATGGTTTATAAACAGAAGAAATGCATTTCAATACCATTCAGAGTTGCTCAAGCTAAACTGTCAATTCTTTATAGTTCTTATTTGTGCTACTACTCCAGAGGAATCTCTGTTCTACTATTGTATTCTGCACAATTTTATCCTGAAAATCTGTTGTGTGCTTGACAGATAATTCACTTCTGTGCTACAGAGATTGTTTGTTTTGTAAGACTACTATTTGTTTTCCTAATTTTAAGGACTGTTATATTGATTTTTCCCCCCTGATTATAGCTTATAGCTATACTGACTCTCACCATTCAAGCCTCTTAGAATCATAGCTGTAAATTCTGAGAAGTGGGTAAAAGAAACTTACTCTTTACTTTTAAATTGTCACACTTTTCTTGTGATAAAATTATCTGTTGCATATTTTCCGAGATGTCTAGGCAATTATATTTAAAATTCTACTGGAGAAGATTTAATGAAAATATTCATTTTACATTATATGCTTGGATATATAGTTTATATCTGAAATGTAAGTGAATGCAAATAATGCATAAATTAAAATACATAAAATTATAATTAGTAGCCATCACTTGCTGGCCATAGATGCAAAGCAACATTTTTTAAAAGTTTTATTTGAGTTTAGTATTTTCAGTAATAATAGCTGTGGATTCACATTCAGAGTTTCAGTTATATTACTTCATTTTGTGATTTGAGAAAACATTTCCCTTTGAACTGTATTTTTCTCTTTATAATGAGAGGATTGGATCAGATGTCAGCTTGATACTTCGCATAAATGTCAATTAGAGAAAAATTATGCTACTAAAAAACCACCAATTTTATTAATTGTGTATTTTATCAGGAAATGCAATATTTGTGAGTATATGCAAGATTTCTTTTATTTCTCTTTTGATAAAGAGTTTAAATAATTTCAGAGTATACAATAAAGTACTATAATAATGAAATTTTGAGACTGAATCAAATTAGTTTCTGAAATTGGTACATTTTGCCTCCCCCCTAGTCTTCTAAACCACTTAATTGAAAATGTGATTTGGGGCCTCTTAATGTGTTCTTTAAAACAAGATTTTTTCCCACTGAAAATGGAAAAAATAAACAGTGTTTTTAATCTAAAAAATATTATTCCCCAGGCTCATTGTGTTGGAATGTATGATTTTCATCAGCTACTTTTCTCTTGGGAGTAGCCTTAGAAATGTTTTCCATTTTATTTAGAAAACAGGTTTCACAACACAGTGCCACAGGCTGGTCTTTTTCTCTTGTATCTTACAGTAATCCAATCATTTTTCACATTCTTGCCCAGCAATTTTAATCAATTTCTTACTCTCTAACCACTAGACCTAATGAGTAGAGCAGCAAAACTGTTGATCAACAAGTGTTTTCTAAGGGCTGGACATCAGTTAGCAGAAATTGGCCCTCCCCAGGCCTCCTTCCTGATATTAAATTGTGAGTCAGAAAGCAGAAATGCCAAATGTAGTCTGTGGATTCCAGAATGTACATCTACACTTTACTATCTCTAGGATTCCTTTCAGCTTCAAAACATCTATTAATTTTTTTCACCATGGAATACCAAAAGCAAAGTTTTTGTTGTTATTGTTTGGTTTTTAGATGTAGGTCATTTATATCCACCAGAATCTTCTGAAACACATAGAAATCATGTGACCCTGGAATTTATTTTTACTGAATGCCATGTTGGTGATTCTGATAAATTCTATATAATTTTTGAGAAAGTTGAGATACAACATTTTGGAATATCCAGAAGTCTGTTGACTGGTTTGACAGTCCCAAGTAGACCTAGAAATAATATATCAACGAAGACTCCCAATTCTAATTGAATTTGGAGACCCGAGTTGACCTAGAAACCATACAGCTCCCTTAGAAATTAGACCTTGGTTTATAGAAGGTACAAACATTACAGAACTCATATAGAAAAATACAACAAAAATAGACATGTATGCTATTTATACCATAAATATCATAACTATAATAAAACTGCAAATCAAAATTTTCTAATAGTAATTTTCTAATAATTTCTCATTATTAATACAAATGATCATAGTATTTGAGTAACAGTGGACAGTCTTACATAGATTTAGCAATATTTAGAGATACTGATGCAGAATTTTTGCTCCTTAGTTCAGCTAGCTCCCAGTTCTTATCTCATGACCAGGAAGGATCAGGCACATGGATCCCAGACAGTGAGTGGAGTAGAACTTATTAAGCAAAAGGAAAACTCTCATCAAAGAAAGAGGTCCTGAAAAGCAGGTTGCTGGTTTCCCCCTTCACTGTTCAATACCTGGGCTTAAGGCATGAATTCCTGGTGGCTCCAACCCACCTTTCTAATGTACATGTGAGCCCTTAGACTGAGTCACTCTATATTGATTTATTTCCCTTACTGTGTGTGTGTTAGGAATGGAATTTTCCACTGTGGGCATGCGTAGGCAAGCCTCCTGTGCAAGTTCCTTTTTCTGCACAATACATCTGGTGTAAGCACTTGTAGGGTGGGTCAGATGCTCTCCATGGACGCTTCCCTTACTGTCTCCCTAAAGCAAGCTGGCTGACCCCTTTCATCCCCTACTTCAGGAGTGGAGACGCCAACTGTTTCTGCTGTTGGGAAAATTGGACAATGACCACTCTTAACTCCTTCGTGCTGACAAGGGGCACTGTTTTAGGAATGCAGCTATGCTTACCACTATACTACAAACACAAGGACACTGTTTTAGGAAAGCAGCAGTTAGGGCTCCTCCTGAGGTCAGTTTTAGGGTCTCCAGAAGAATGGCACATCCATCCATGGTTTCATTTGCATCACCATTTGAAGTTTAAATGAGAATAAACAATTTTGGTTATTAGAAGATGTATGTCAAACAATATAAGGAGGTAAGAAAAGCTCAAAATGTCCAAGACTGTGGACACACCCAGATAACTGGTGGCTATAATTATGCCTGCTAAGATTTGGATGCATAAGTTTTGGCTCTATTTTCCCAAACAAAGAAACCTCTAGTTTATATGTTCCCCATTCAATCCTATTACCTAGCAGGATTTGCAGGATAATGGCTAAAAATTAAAACAGTGTAAAAGTGTTCCTATTTCTGCACATCCTCCCCAGCATCTGTTGTCTCCAGATTTTTTAATGATCACCATTCTAACTGGTGTGAGATGGTATCTCAATGTGGTTTTGAGTTGCATTTCTCTAATGACCAGTGGTGATGATGATTTTTTCATTTGTTTGTTGTCCTCATAAATGTCTTCTTTTGAAAAGTGTCTGTTCATGCCCTTCGCCCACTTTTGAATGGGTTTGTTTTTTTCTTGTAAATCTGTTTTAGTTCTTTGTAGATTCTGGATATTAGCCCTTTGTCAGATGGATAGGTT